AATGTAGAGAAGCATAAATAAGACGGTAATCACTTAAAGGACAGTTGTGTACATGACTCTTACTTGGTTATCACAATGGCCTTAATTTGTTTTAATCCTTCATGGATTTTACATAATCTAGATAATCTGGATGCACGTTCGGGTTATTAAACCAGATATATTAATCTCATCATGATTGTCTCAATTGCTAACCCTCATTCAGTATTAAATAGGGAATATTAATGGTCAGTCTTCAATTTTAGATTTGTGTCAGCAGCATTAGAGAGCGAGAAGAGTGTGTGAGGACGAATTCTCTTTCATTCAACGAGATTGTCATCAGATATACGTGCTTCGCAGTCGTGTACCATAGAAATGAATGTCATACAAGCTACCATTGTTTAGTCTTTACTTGTTTGATCTTTCAAGACATCCAGAAGAAACGGCCCCCCCTTGTGGTCTGAAAAAATAGTTAATCATGTCTACTTGTCTAATTGGGCTGCATTGTCAAGTCAAGCCACTTTTGTCATTCGAAATTATAAGACTATAAACACAGCATATACAAGTACAATACATAACCTAGAGTGATGTGCATATAAACTCAAATAAAAAAGCTTCTGTGTTTAAGTACTATACGTATTTAAGTGAAGCTACCTCAAGAACTAAAGATTGTGCACTAAAGTTGTAACTAGTCAATCAGCCTTAATGTTTACAATGCAGTTGAAAAGAATGAACCCTGTTATAGCAGTAGGCGATTATTAAATTATGCGAGCTTTAAATATGTCATGGAAATTTGATGCATATAAGCTATGCTGCACAGGTTAGTTTGGATAATTACTGCAGAAATAATGGCTTTTCATAATAGTTATTCACATTAAGTTGAAGCCACAGCCTTGTAGCTATGAGCTGGTTTGTTCATTTGCCAGTCCCATTTTCCCCTAATCATTTCCAGTCATCCCTGTCAATAAAATAAAAAAGTCCCATAAAAATATAGTTTCAGTGTGGCATTTGTAATTCAGTCAAATGTGAGAATTGAAGGAGCTTACACATACACACACTTTCTTGGCAGGTGGCTTGTTTTTTGACCTGAGGTTTGTATGCATCATAGTTTTCTATTCACTTTAAAGCCATTTGTTTGATGAACTTTTAACTTTTTTTCCCCATCAACCCAAAAGTGCACAAGTAATTGGCTTTCTGAGCCATCTCGCATTATCCTTTGCCAAAAAAAGCCACCAATAATTTGGCAGCACCAGTGGACAGATCAGCTAAAAAAACATGCCAGCTAAGGTTAAAAAAAATGGTGTTAGTGCTACTTGCAAGCAGATATTATTGTGTAAATTACCCACTTAAATGCTGAGGAAGCTATTTGTTTTCTCAACCCATACAGTGAAGACTTGCGAATGTGAAAGGATGGAAGGGATAAAACAGAAAATAAGAGCTTCTACAAGAACCAATGAGGTTCATTCTCGTGTTACGCAGCAAGTTTGAGCTTCTACAAGAACCAATGAGGTTCATTCTCATGTTACGCAGCACGTTTGAGCTTCTACAAGAACCAATGAGGTTCGTTCTCATGCAACGCTGCTCATAGCTTTCAATGGAAGGACAGAAAGCTCTCAGATTTCATTAAAAAGATCTTCATTTGTGTTCCAAAGATGAACGAGTCATACGGGTTTGGAACGACATGAGGGTGAGTAATTAATTATTTTGAACTATCCCTTTAACACACCTGATTTAGATCATCAGCTGGTTAGCAGAGAAGTTTTTTTTCTTTGTTTTTATTGAACATATAAAAGATTACAGGGGATACATATATCATAAAGATCACTTAAAAGAACAGGATAAGAAACTTGAAAGGAAGGAAGACAATTGAATACATTTTCAAGCAAGATACAACAAACAGGGATAATCTACTAGATGAAGTGATTAACAGAAATATAAAGCAATAAATAGCAATAATTTTTTTTTTACAAACAAGGCAACGGTCATAAGCTACACATGACGTCAAACTCTGCAGTGTCTTTTTTAAAGTATAATTTTAAAACGAAAATATATCAGTCTACTCAACTTTACTGCAATCCTGCAGACTTGTGTACTAACTTGGATGGGTTAAATGCAGAGGACAAATTCCGGGTCTGGGTTACCATACTTGGCCTTCACGTAATGGCACTTTCACTTTTGTAAAGTATGCCTTCTTTTAATTCAGCTAAGAGGTCATGTCGTGATCTATCAATCTTCTAATTGTCACATGTCTTCATGTGAAACAAATGTGCAGGGCAGAGTTCACCAAATGTACATTTTGGAATGTGGTGTATTCGCATGAGCTTGAATTTCCTGTCTTCTGCATTTGCATGAGTATGAATGGAAGGCAATGGAATGAAGAGTGTAGTGTGTCTGGCCCCTTACGAGTGTCCAGCAGTGGTGTGGGCAGGGGGGCCCAAACAATATGCAATACAAGGGGCCCAAAAACCAGACGGCATTGGCTGTGGGTTAGGATAAAAACGATTGGCTTTCGTCCTTCACTGTTAGTTTTTAATCGCTTTATTGCGTTTCGCCTGGTTTCGACATGGTGTGAGGTTAAAAAGACACAAAACAACTTTCCCTTTTATGGTGCATTTACTACTTGATAGTAAAATCACTAATGTCCTTGGTTAATATTGTGGAACAATGATGTTGTTGAGCCATGCAATTGTTTTTGAAGATAAAACCCCTGACTGGCTCAATAAATTTTTGTGCCGATTCAGTATGCAATGAAAAGGTTTATGAGCACCCGGTTCTGCCTATATCGGACACCTGACATCAAATCTAAAGACGCTATTATTATTTTTTCTTTCTCATAGAAACCAAACATGTAACCCATTTTATGATGAAAAACGCTATCATCTTATTAATACAAGTGGATGCCGTGTAAAAGTTTACCTCTCAGCCTTAATAAAAGGGATTTTATCATGTGATTTGAATTATGGGGTCACTTAATCCAGATCTGTGTTGATTCAATGTTGATTAAAGCTAAAATGAATAGTAGATCAATGGTATTAAAATATCTCCACCTATTCATTGCAGGATAGTAATTCTTTTGATGGTAAATAAGTGAATCAAATAAAAAACAACAGCAGCAACAACAAAATACAAAGAACTCATGCATTTCTAAAATACAGAGTGCTTTATTTGTAGAATACAGCATCAATTTAGCAAAAATAGTTCTATTATAGACAAAATCTACTTGGTCTTAAAAGTCCAGTTTATAGTAACAGCATCGTCAAGACATGGGTACCTAACAGAAAGTGTGTAGATAGCAAAAACGGAAAGAAACATGAAAAAAAGTGAAATACATACTCACAATTAACAGCATGTTGTACAAAGAACTAGAGCTTCAAGCATGCATTGCAGCAATATAATAATAATAATAATATGCCATATGTTGTTTTTACATAAATAAAAAAGGAGACAAACGTTTAAGCAAAAAGGGGAGAAAAAAGCCAGAAACATGAACTTTTCATTTGTGCTAGTTCTATGATGTAAACGACTGTAAAACGGTCACTGGAAATACATCTGTGGTCATTTTGCACTGTTCTGCAACACTAAACACTCCACAGTGAGCTTTTAGAACTCCCCAAGACATTTAGGCACATGTACAGCCATTAAAACATCATCTCAAGCAAACCACAAGCGATGCTTCGCAAAGAGAAAACGAAGCAGACTTGCTAAAGAGACTTTTTAAATGGACTGAAGACAATGTGGTGTAGTTTCTGTTTCCCCGCATCCTTTTTAGATGCGAATCATTTCTTTTCTTAACCCCAGGCACTGGTTTCCTGGAGACAGATTAAATTTCAACGGCTTGAACATCGTCTTACAAAATGGAGTGTTTACACTGGAGACTCACCATTAATGTAATCTTCGTCAATGATGTGCAAACTGCCATTCAGAGGATCTCTAAACTTACCAGGAATTATGTAAATGAGAAGGTGATGATAATAAAACACCTCACTGTGAAAACAGCAGATGTTTATATTACTCTGAAATCGGTATCAAAGAAAAGACACGATTTCTGACACTAAATCTATGTCGTCTAAACGACACATTATTGGATGACCAGGGTCATTTTAGTGTCACATTGATTCATTTGATTAAATAATACTTTCACTGACTTCCAAGTTCTCACATTATTTTGTTCAAAGACGTGCTTGAAGCAAGACCAGCATATTCAAGGAATAATTCTGCAAAGTGTGCTTGAACTTTTTAAGGGACGTTTTATGCAGAAATACCTCATTAGGGCTAATTATGTGTATATAAGGACTGATATTACACACAAAAAATGTACACCAAGTTTTCATTTTAAGTAAAAGTGCTGGCATATTAGAGTTCCCTTTATGACAGAGCCAGATTCCTTAATTTGTTAAAGAATATTTTATGATATTGATCCCGAAGCGAGTCTTCCAAGCATTAATAATACCAACCAATATTTCAGCCAATAGTCAAAATACACAAATAGACAAACAAATTAGCAAACAAAAGGCATGAGAGACCAATTATCTCAAGGCCCTTGTAGCTTTCTAATGTTGGTAGAAGTGTGTTTATGGCGTATTGCCATTCTTTATGTTAACTTAGGTAGGACTGTATTTGGTGAATGCGAAACAGTAATTTTCCCATGGGCTAAATGAACCAGCCACCTGTTTTCCAACCCCCATGAAAGTGAGAACACACCACCCAGACATCCACAGACACACCGAATCGAACAAAGGCTGGGAGCGAGTCAGCCAGTCTAATCTGACTTGTCTTTTTTCTTTGGTGTAACTTTACCGGCCACTGCAGACCCCACTGCCCCGACCCCTCCCGTTACCACGGAGACACCGCCTTTGACCAATCCCACTCCAGCTGCAGGAACACTCGTCACAGCCGTCTTGGTCAGCTCGAAGCTCTTGCTGCCTACCCAGGCCACGCCTCCGAGGGTGGCACCCACCGCTCCTTTGGTGAAGTTGAACAGCCCGCCGGTCACTCTCCACACCACGCCTGCTTCATTCTTAGGGTGGTCTTTCTCCAAGTCTGAAAAACAGTAGATTTACATAAGCGTAAACATTCAGGGCCAGATTTACTAAACTGGACAAATTAGCGTGAGCGCAATCCCATAAAAGATGGGTTTTGCACGCAAAAAATAAACACAGATGCAGCCAGATCATTTCCGTAATGACCAACGCAATCTACCAAGAGCCGCGCAAATCAGCATCTGGTTTAAGACATGCTTTTTTTGGGTGGTAAATAATGGTAGCCTAGAAATCTAGACGCACCCTAGCGGCAGCAAAAATTATTTTGCAGCAAAGTGTGGTCTAGCAACTCTCCGTTGGCTTTCGAAGTGGAAAAAACAAACTCTGGTCAGGCCAATCATATCGTGTATAGAGTTTGTGGGTGGGCTTAACACAATGACGGCAGAGTGATTTCCATAGGTGATTTCCCAGATACTTGAAAACAAACAAGATGCAGCTGGTGAACAGCGGCCTTTCGATTCGGCTTTGGCCGCGACTCTGGATGACTTGGAGTTAAGAGAATGTCACGCCATTCTTAAAAAAGGAAGATGTGTTCAGAATTTTGACGACCGGATACGGCAAAAGTTTAATATATCAACTTGCTCCGCTGGAGGGAAAACCATGGGAAAACGCATGGGACTCACTCAGCCACAGCCATTCACTGCTCTGGTTGGTTAGCACTATCCTATGATATTGAAAGACAACCATTTATCCCGCCCCCCGGATTGAGGTATGCCCATTGTGAGTTCCCAGACCTAACATCTTGATAGGTCTGGCTTGCCCGGCTAAAATAATGGCACACATACCAGTAAATTGACTTAAAACCTTAGTAAATCTCCTTGCATGATTAATCTAAATACTCTCCTCCCATAAATTTAGCCTCTGAAAGGGAAACTCCCACAAATCCATAATAAGGTCAGCTGCAAAAATGTCCAAATCCTGACAGTTGTTTTTTAATAATAATATTTGTTAATAAATCTGGTCCTAAGAGTGTTAAAATGATTTGTAATTTTATGACCAATACAGTTCACCATGAAATCACAATTGACAATTCTTCTCTGATGACGCGTTTTCTGGCGCAAGGATGGGACAACAGCAAACAACAACCAATCAATTCCTGATAGAAAAATGAAGTCCCGCCCAACATTTTTTCTTGTTCGAGAAGCTGTTTCACTCATACGTCACAATAGGAGAAAAAAGACTAGCACAACTTCTGTTTCATGTTGAATTTAAGTGTCCAATAATTGATTTGCAAAAACACAATAAGTGTTAAATTATTAAACAACAGCAAAACATAATATCCACTTTGTTAAATTATTATAATTTTTACAATTCATTACAGTCACTTTAGTTTAGGGTCCAATTCTCACTATTTTCGAACTATTAAATACAGCTTTTGTCTCATTAAACTAGTAATTAGCTTATTAAATTAGTTAGTAAGGTAGTTGTTAGGTTTAGATATCAGGGTGTAGAATAAGGTCATGTAGTATAACGCATTAATATGTGCTTATAAGTACTAAACAGCCAATAACCTGATATGCATGCTAATACACAACTAGTTAATGGTGAGAATTGGACCCTAAACTAAACTTTTACCTTCATTTTATTATTGTTACGATGGGGAAAAACGCCAATGACTTGCACTCAACCTTAATTGAACCATAGGGACCTTAACTTGGGTTTTGCTTTTTTGACTTGGCCCAGAAAGCAACCATCTAGTAACCAACCAGAAACCACTGAGATATGTATGGCTATGTTTTGAAAGACTATTATATATAAATCCAGCTCCATTTTGTCATTCCCGGTTCTTTCTGTTGTACCTTTTACGAATCATCAAACCATGGCAAATATGATTATTATCTACATTCCAATTTTTCATTTAAGATAACTTGGTTCCTAAAGCCATGATTTTGAAATCATGTCTTTCAGGAGTCAAGACTCAAACATTTATGTAAGTATTGCTTATTTTCCTCTTTGTGATGGTTATGTGAGACTTAAAGCTTCAGGGGAGCATTGTGAAATCACCTCACATCTACAGACCTGAGTAATACAGTGAGCAGATGTGGTCTAAAACACACACGCACACACACACCAAACACCAAATAGCACAATCTTTCCCCTTTGTTCCTTTGGCAGAATACAAGACAAAAAAGAGACTATTTTCCTTCCACTGGACAACTAGCATTTACACACCCCACAATACTCTGTGGACTGTGAACAGAAATTATATCTTTTACATTCAATCAATACTGTCAAGGACCGCTTGTCTGGGCTGCTCGATGAGCTCCCAGGTGAATCGATGTGCCACGGAGAAAGCCGTGTGAATGACAAGCAGCGCATCTTCAGATGAGTCTCGTGGGACGGTTGAGGGAAAACTTCATGGAGCAGTCAAGGTCGGCACACATGCGGTTCATATACGTGCACAGATATGCACGTGCATAAACAACAACAGACACACGCAGAAATAAGCAGAACCAGCCTTGATGTGAAACATTTTTAAGATGCAACTAGAGAAGATTTAACTAAAGCCTACTTTCCTCGCTTTAGCGGCCTCTTGCAAATATCAAAATTCATTAATATGTATGAAACATGCCTACAAACCTCTTGCTTCTTCTAACACCATGTCTCTACTGTGAGTCCCATGTTCAGTTTAGACAAGCAAACGACTGATGTTTCTTATGAATTTTGAGTGTCCCTGATATGCAGAACCAGAATTTGTTTTCTGAATTCTCTCTAATTTTAACAAAATAACCAAATTAATAGACATGAGGATAGAACCAGTTAAGGAGTTCAACGATAATGGTAGTAAAACTGCGGTCAGTGACAATGTTGGTGGATACGAAACTCGTTCTTCTAGATTCCCATTCACACATGCAATATAGACTAACTCAAGGCATCTAGGCTTGGGGAGATGTAATTACACTTTCCACGCTCCAAACCTCAAAGCATTGCGGCACTTTGAGGAATATTCAATTTTCACATGAAGCCTGAATGAGTAAAGTGAGGCATGTTTCAAAAAAGGAATGAGATTATTTCTGAATTTTACGTTTTTATACATTATTTTCCAATGATAGAAGCCAAGGATAGACCAATGATGATGGGTCGTATTTTTCTAACAGAATCTGCACATCTGTGTCTTATGAAACTCAAGCAATATTTGTGTCAATCTTTCATTTTTTCTAGCAAAAATACATTCCATGACAAGCAATTTTCATGTAAATTGTTCATAAATCCATTCTTACGTAAACGGTTATGAATTTGATGAAAAGTAAGTTTAGAATAAATTGTAACTCCATTCTTATATAAACCATCACATTCATATGAGAAGCAATTTTCATGTAAATTGTTTGCAAATCCATTCCATAAATTTATATGAATAGCAAAAATTCGATAAATTCTAAACTAAAAAGGTGGCATTCAATTTCATACAAATTGTTTGTAAATGGGTGATTCTCAAAAAAGCTTGGTTTTAAAAATTTCAAACACGAAAATTAAAAAAAAAATGCTTGAATTAAAAAAAAATACAAATCAGACATTAGAAACAAAGTCTGGAGAATTTGTGAACATTACTTTTAACAACATTTACTTAAAATTTAAGACCTTTTTGTTAATATTTAATTTTAAATTAGAATTATTTAATTTTTTTGTTCAATTTCTCTCATTACTGCAAAACATTCCACAATTTACAATCTTATTGTATATATTTTAATGAAACCTGTCACATTTTCAAAATGATGCGACAAACCTGAAAGAACATAACGTGTAGATACATTTAAAATCAAACTACAAATTTTATATATTAATTAATTCAACATTTAATGCTAATCTGTTGCGGTAATGAAACATAGGTTTTGGAAATGAGGTTGATTATTTCAGTAATGATAATAAGTTTGCAATGTCTAGATCTAATGTATAGAAAAATGTATAATATATGTAAAATCATGGATTCAATTTCAAATTCTGTTTTATTTGGTAGTGCTTCAATACCTAACATTAGCAACAACAACAAAAAATACAAAAAAAAATAACAATGCTAATAATAGAGAATCCATGATGACTTTGCTAATGTTTTACTCAGTGCATATAATTAGACATTAATGAAATACAATTTTATTAAAAAAAAATTGTGAAAACTGCTTGTTTCGGTAATGATAATCAATATGTCGTGTTCACATTCAGACAAGAGAATATTTTACATTTAATTAGAGAAATATAACGGAGATCTTCTTACCTAGTAGTCATTTTAAAGGAACTGGCCCATGTGATTCTTTATTCAAAATCAAACTTTATTTAAATGTCTGAATGTGCATTTTAACTGTCCTAATGTTGTGGATTCCTGTAAATTGTTCGTAAATCCATTATTACGCATACTGTAATTCTTACAGAAATTCTGTAAACGCAATTTTAATAACAAGTGATTTTTATGTAAATTGTTCGTAAGCGATTTTTACGGAAAGTGTTGCACTCATTTTACAAGCAATTATAATGTAAATTACAAAACTGAAACCTAAATTGTTGCATTCATATGACGATCAATGTGATATAAATCGTTCATAAAACTGTTCTTGTGCACAATGTTGCACAATTTTAACAACCTAAAAAATAAAAAATGCAAATACATTATTAATGAATGAGGCCACAGTTTGTGAGCTTCACGCAGGCATCTGTAACAACCTTGTAACAACCACTGACAGCCATTGTCATTCAGTTGAATTCAGTGCGAGAACTGCAGATAACCAGTCAATAACACAATGCTACCCCCATGTCATGAATTAGAAGTCCCACTGAACTAACAGAATATAAATATGGTTTTGGCTATGTGCCCATGGGTACTTGGTAACACATCAAACAAATATTAACTTAGAACTTGGACACTGCATGCATATAACAGAATCCTCCTCAATAGCATAGTGTGACAAAAACGCATTATTTGCAATATAAGGAAGTTCAGGAAATGTCAATCCAACACACAATAAAATACATAGCAGCTATATAATAGTGCAACCCGATAAATCACTCACA